CAAAGGCATATGGGGGTAAACGTGGTAGAACATGGGTTACCTAGGGTCCGTAGATGAAAGTGAACGTGGTAGAACATGGCTAACCAAAGGCATATGGGGGTAAACGTGGTAGAACATGGGTTACCTAGGGTAGATGAGGGTGAACGTGGTAGACCATGGCTAACCAAGGGTAGGTTGGGGTAAACGTGGTAGAACATGGGTTATCTAAAGTAGATGTGGGGAACGTGGTAGAATATTGCTAACGAAGGGTAGATAGGGGCAAATGGGGTAGGACATGGGTTACCCAGGGTAGGTTCGGGAGAACGTGGTAAAACATCGGTTGCCTAGGGTAGATGAGGGTGAACGTGGTAGAACATGGCTAACTAAAAGTAGATAGGGGTAAACGAGGTAGAAAATGGGTTACCTAAGGTAGGTGAGGGTAAACGTGGTAGAACATGGGTAACCTGGGGTAGATGAGGGTTAACGTGGTAGAACATGGGTAACCTAGGGTAGATGAGGGTAAACGGGGTAGAGCATGGGTTACCTAGAGTAGATGGAGGTAAATGTGGTAGAACATCGGTTACTTAGGGTAGATAAGGGTAAACGTGGTATAAGATGGCTAACCAAAAGTTGATAGGGGTAAACGGGGTAGAACATGGGTTACCTAGTGTAGATAGGGGTAAACGGGGTAGAACATGGGTTACCTAGGGTAGATGAGGATGAACGTGGTAGAACATAGCTAACTAAGGATAGATGGAGGTAACTGTGGTAAAAGATGGCTTACTTAGGGAGGATGAGCGTAAACGTGGTAGAATATGGGTTACCTAGAGTAGATAGGGGTTGACGTGGTAGAACACGGATTACCTAGGGTATATGAGGGTGAACGTGGTAGAAAATGGCTAACCAAGAGTACATGGGAGTAAACGGGGTTTACTCAGTCTAACATAGGTTACCTAGGTTACATAGGTTACTATGGTTAACTATAGGTTACTATGGCTAACATAGGTTACATAGGTTACCCAGTCTAACATAGGTTACCTAGGTTAGATTAGGGCAAACGTGGTACAACATGGGTTACATAGGGTAGATGAGGGTGAAGGTGGTAGAACATGGCTAACCTAGAGTAGATAAGAGTAAACAGAGTGCAGCATGGGTTATCTAGCGTAAATGAGGTTAAACGTGGTAGAATATGGCTAACCTAGGGTAGATGAGGGTAAACGAAGTATAACACGGGTTACCTAGGGTAGATGAAGGTGAACATGGTAGAACATGGGTTACCTAGGGTAGATGAGGGTAAACGTAATAGAACATGGCTAACCGAAGATATATGAGGGTAATGGGAGTAGAATATGGGTTACCTAGAGTACATGAGCGTGAACATTGTAGAACATGGCTAACCTAGTTTAGATCAGGGTAAACGGAGTATAACATGGGTTACCTAGGGTAGATGAAGGTGAACGTGGTAGAACATGGTTTACCTAGGGTAGATGAGGGTGAACGTGGTAGAACATGGCTAATTAAGGTTAGCCATGTTCTACCTCGTTTATTCTCATCTACCCTATCTAACCCATATTCTACCCCGTTTACCTCCCTCTACCCTAGGTTAGCCATGTTCTACCACGTTCACCCTCATCTACCCTAGGTAACCCATGTCCTACCCCATTTACCCCCCTCTACCCTAGGTTAGCCATGTTCTACCACGTTCACCCTCATCTAACCTAGGTTAGCCATGTTCTAGCACGTTTACCATCTTCTACCATAGGTAACCCATGTTCTACTCTGTTTACCCTCATGTACTTTAGGTTAGCCATATTTTACCACCTTTACCACCATCTACGTTTGGTTAGCCATGTTCGACCACGTTCACCCTTATATAACCTAGGTAACCCATGTTCTACCACGTCTACCCCCATCTACCCTTGGTTAGCCATGTTCTACCACGTTCACCCTCATCTACCCTAGATAGCCCATGTTCTATCACGTTTACCCCCATCTACATCTAAGTAACCCATGATCATCGTGTTGAGCCGTCTGATAAAGCTAGGAACATAGGAGTGGTTTTTGATGAGACCTTGTGACTGGATAGGCATGTGAGTTCTGTTTGTAAATCTGCTTTATTCCATCTTTTGAATATCGCTAAGATCAGAATGTTTTTGAATTCTGAGAGCTACACTGTCATTCCTAATCGCGAAGGCCTTCTGGCCCTTAAACATATTTTTGATCAACGTACTGATAAGGAACCTAAATCTGAAACACTACTATGCTTAGCCGAACTAGTGCTCACACTCAATTGTTTTTCATTCGGAAACAACTTTTTCAAACAAACCAATGGTGTAGCCACGGGCACCAAAATGGGACCTAGCTATGCCAATCTTTTTGTAGGTTCTGTCGAATATCAATTTTTCAGCCAATACAATGGCTCCAAACCTGAACTCTACGATCGCTACATCGACGACTGTATCGGCGCTACCTCCTTTCAATTCATAACCGCAGTCAATTCTTTTCACC